GTTGTCACTTCACTTGTCCCCTTTCACACACAAGGGGGCAGGGAGAGCTGTCCAGGAGGAGGATGTGAGAGGGTGTTGATTCTGGGGGGCCCTTGTCCAGCAATGCCAACAGCAGCCAACACAGACTGCCCTTTCATGGAACCACTCAAAGAGTTCCCTGTTTGGGGGCATTGCTTCTCAAGCTGGGAGCATCCATGAGGGAGGGAGGGTGGAATGAAGGGGGCACTTGCCCGCAGAGTGCTGCACACTCTGGCAACACCGTGAAATCAGCCAAGGGCTAGGGGAGGAGACACACCTTTGTACCTATTATGTGCCAGCTATTTATTCTCCCTTCTCTCTTTCACAAGTATGAGGTAAGGCAAGAGAGGGAAAGGAGGCTCAATGAAAAGACTTCCTTAAGTTCACACAGCTAGCAGCAGAGCCGGATGCAGAGTGAGGCAGGCCTCCCTACCAGCTGCTTCTAACCTTTCTCTCTCACCTGAAGATCCTCACAACTTTCCCCCCCCTCGGGAAGTAGAGCTTGTCTCTTTCCCGTCTTCCTCTCTACCCCATCCCTCTTTTATTCCCTGTTGTGCTTGGGAGCAGTCCCACTTGGTGAGGCTGGGGAGGCGAACCCAGTGGACCTCAGATCTAAGGGGTTTTGCCTTGGTTTCCCCTCCTGTTGGAATTCCTTTGTCTTAGCAACATGGCATTTCCTGCTTTTCACCTGGACTACTGCAGGAAGCACATTTGGATTATACTTTAAATACTTAAGTCTCATTTAACCCTCCCGACACCTTGTGATTTAAGGATTATCAACCCATTTTTTAAATTTTTTTTTGGATAAGGAACCTGAAATTCTGAAAGAAGTGACTAGCCAATGGTCACCCAGCTAGTGGGTGGCTGAGAGCCTGTCACCACTAGTGAGTACCTGTCAGCAAGCCCCAATCTTCTCACCTGCCTCATCCCCATCTCTTTTCTGGTATATGTAGGAGTGATAAGGTGTGCACTGGTCTGGGAGCTCTGTGGCTTGAATCCGAGCCCAGACTGTGCTAATTGTGTGACCTTGGGCAAATCACTTCCCTTATCAGAGCTTTCGTTTTCTCACCTGTAGGATGGCACTGCTAATCTGCCACCCCTACCCACTCCAGAGGAGCTGTGAGACCTCGAAGGATGAAAATGTGCTTTATAAATGGTATATGCTGTATTGTGTTGTTAGGCTAAACTTGATTAGTCATCGCTTTGTGGCATCATCATTGATCATCAGGAAAAACACTTTCTTCCCCATCACAGTTCCCTACTCAGTTAACTGTTCCTTCCGTCCACCAGATAGTTGCAGGCTCCAATGTTTAGCCTGGCTGCAGGCTGGGGTTTTCTAGCAAACTGCTGGGAGAGAAAGCCAGCTCTAGGAATAAGGGAGTCTCTTGAGTTTACATAACTTTCTGAGCCTTGGAACCAGAGTGAGAATGTGTTGACTCTGGCTGCTGATGGGTATCCAGCTGGGGCAGGAGAGTTGGCTGGAAGCTTACAAACAGCACGCTGTTCCTGCAGGGAAGTGTGGCTGCCTTTGCTTTCTCTACTCTTGTAGGCTCTCTTCTTGCTTTTCCCTTATTAATGTCTTTACCCTTTAACTCCCTATCCCCTGTTCTGATGACAGGCTCTTGAATCCAACTTAAGGGTCCTTGCACCTCACTGTCCAAATCGGTTTGTCTTGTTCATTTCACATCCAAAATCTTGAACCGGTTGCCTCCTCTCATCCCTGCAGCCATTGTCCTAGTTAAGTGTACTGCTGCCATTTACAACTGCCCCTTTACTGAGCTCCTGCCTCTCATCTGGTGCAGACCAATCCAGCTACACAGGATATTAGAGTTCCTTCACTGCAAACAACTCCCCATTCTTGCCACTCAGGGTCTTTGGGTCTGCCTCCTACTCCAGCCACACAAATCAAGTGAATCTACCAGTTATCAGAACGACTTTCAAGTCTCCTGGGCTTGAGTATGCTGTTGCCTCTACCTGCAGTGAATTCCCCTTCCTTCTCTACCTCCACCGTCTGATGATGCTTCAAAATTCAACTCAAATGCTACCTCTTTTGTGAAACCATCTCTGACCTGTTTCCAAAGGTTTGGTTGTCCTCTTGTCCTTTGCACAATGTGGTCACTGTTTCTTTAACGGTCTCTCTAGACCATGAGCTCATTTAAAGGGCCTCATTATGTATTGATATCTGTCTCCAAAATCCACTAGAAGCTTTGTACAGAACAGGTTCTCAGGTATGCTTAATCAGCAAACAAATGCTCACCAACAGCAGGTTTGAGGATAACACCAAGTCATGCCAGCTCCCCTCATGCCTTTGTCTGAGTCCTCTCAATTCTGAGATCCCCCCTTCTATTAGATCTGCCTACCTTCTTTTTAAATCCAGGTTCAAAAAAGGGAGGGAGGGAGGAGGGAGGGGAAGGAGGGAGAGAGGGCTCTTTTTCCACTTATTTATTTATGCATTCAATGGTTGATTCTTGTTATATGCCCTGACTGGGGATCAAACCCGCAACCTTGGCATATTGGGACGATACTCTAACTGAGCTATCCAGTCAGGGCCACCTACCTTCTATTTTTCAGGAAGTTCTCCTTGGGTATTTGTCAGCGTGTGTGTGACAGAATCCTTTGGCTTGACCCAAACATGCTCCTTCTGGCTGTGCAGCAATCCTTCACTTAAAAGGTCCAGGGGTTTCCCAGCCAGAGTGGGTCAGCTGGTTAAGTGTCAATTCCCAGTCAGAGCACATATCTGGTTTGTGGATTCCAATCCCAGGTTGGGACATGTATGAAAGACAACCAATTGATGCTTCTCTCTCCCCTCTCCCCGTTCCAAGCATGTCCTCATGTGAAGATTAATAAAAAAATAATTTTTTTAAAAGGCGGAGTGGGGGGCGGGGGTCTTCTTTATTCCCTGAGTTCATAGTGCTGATCTGTAGGCTCAAGGATGTTGTTATAGCCAGCACATAGTAAGTGCTCATTAAATATGTTGTTTTGAATGTTTCCTTCTCTGCTGGGGTGTAGTGAAATGATCAGTAGACAAAGATGCTGCCACGTCCTAGCTGTGGCTGTGGGCAAGTCATTTCAGATCTCTGAGCTTCAATTTCTGTGCCTTTAAATTGGAGTTAATGCCCATATGTCATAAGGATACAACATATAAAGGAGATGTGACTAGCACAGTACCTAACATTGGACAAACATTTCATTCATTCTCAGCCTCCATCCATCAAATCTGAAGAAGACTTATTTCCCTGGTCATCATCCTTTTTTTTTCTTTTTAAGTCCATTATCTGGACCAAAATGACCTCTGCCCAGTGTCCCATGTATTGTCTAGGAGGCAGCATGAAGAGGAAACAACCTAGGTTTGAATTCTGACACTGTCACTTCTAAGCTATATAAATTTGGACCTGTCTACCTGTAAAAGGAACATCACTTACCTCAAAGGGTTGCTGTGAGAATTAAATGAGATGTATGTAAAGTAAATTAGATCACCAAAATTTGATGACTAATTTGACTAGCCTGGTGAACAAAAGTGGCTGTGTCCCTGAGAACCATGCATGTGATCATGCTGCCCCCCTGTGGGCAAAGGGCACACGCCCCACAAAGAGATCCCACCCACACCCACACCCACATCCACAAGGGATTGGTGGGAGAAATGAGATCACACACAAACACTTTTCTTCTCTGCTAGGGAGCTCATGCTTTACCCTGAAATATTTAGTGGACATCTAACCCTGAACTTCTCAGGATTAATGTGCTTGTTAAAATACAGATCAATTCTTAATAGGTCTGGGGTAGGGACAAAATCTTTAACAAGCTTCCAGATGATACTGATACTACTAGCCCACAGACCACTTTGAGTGATAAAGGTTTTAAATTTAAAGTGTAATCTGGAAGTGACATGACAGGAACTATTCATTGAGTGCCTCCCCTGTGCCAGGTTAACCTATATTAACTTACATGGTCCTACCCTACTATTGATCTCCACCTTTCAGTTGAGGAAACTGCAGTGTAGAATCAGCTATCTCATATAAACCATAATGGCTGGGCTGTGGGTTCTAATTTAGGCAGCCTGGCCCCAAAGCTTTCTAGGACTCCAACATTGTGCAGAGGATGATCAAAGGAGGGGCTGTGACAGGGAATCAGCAAAGGTACTGAAGTGATCTGAGAGATAAGGCCTCAGCTAGGGCAGGAGCCATGGGTCTAACAGGTTTGGTAGTAGACTGGATATGGGTGTAAGAGAGCTATCTAGGGAGCTCTAGCTGTCTGGTTTGGACAATTGGAGAGATGGTGGTACCTACCATTTACTGAGCTAGGAAACACAGGAGAAATAAGTTAGTTTTAGAGGGAAGGTGAATTCAGTTTCAGGAATGGTCAACATGAGTGGCCTTTGGTCTTTTGGGAGAGAGATGAGGAGGTACAAGGACCCAAGTGTCTAGAGCTCAGGAGATGATCTGGATTGTGGACAAAGTCTGGAAGTTGGCAGATATGAAGCGATGAGTGGTGAGGTCACGTGAACAGGGCAGACTGTCCTGTTCCAGAACAACAAGTTAACACAGCACATAGTTTGAAGAGATGGGACTGGAATCCAGGTTTCCCTGGCTGTTGTGGAGGCTGGCCCTGTCCATTCCACTGGGCATCCCAGACCTGAGGAACAGGCAGAGCATATCATGCTGATGGGCTACAGGAAAGGGATTTCTGGAGCTCTATGGTAACTAAATCCAATGAATTGTCCCCTGCCCCCCATATCAGCAGAAATAAGGACAACTTCACGGAGAGACTATATCAATAAAGGCTGGGAGATATTTATTTTAACAAGATCATAAATAACAAAGAAACAAAGTAGGTCCCAGACTCCAGACCGTGCAGCAGGATAAGGGAGAGGAAGTTGTTGGGTGAAAAGTGGAGGGGGCTAGGCATCACCTACGACAGTCACAGAAAAGGTGGGCTGCAGGAGACTGCCCCTCCCTGCCCTTGGAAAAGGTATGCTGGGGCAGCAGGGGGAGGCCGTAGTGCTGTGATGAGGCAACTGGAAGAGGATGCTGAGCTAATTCTATGAAGAGTGACATGGGAACCACAAATGCTGAAGATAAGCTGTGTGGGTCTAGAAGAAGCAAGCGGGCACTCTGCACACCTCCAGGAACCACTTATGAAAATGGTTAAATTTGACCCTTAAAAACAACTGCACAGGCTTTAGCTCTGTGGCTTTGTGCATGGGCTGTACTTAACCTGGGTTGCTCTGTGACAGGTGAGGGCTCAAGAGGTCCCTGGAGCAGCCTGGCCTCAGCCCAGGACAGGTGTCCAGACATGTGGGAGTGGGACAGTGGGCTCTCCCCAGATAGGAGGCCATGTGCTTGGACTGGCTGGACCTGATTTTCAGGATGGTTTCTTGTGATGCTATCCACTACACCTCCTTATACCTAAGGATTGGATCCTGGACTCTATGAGTCTTCCAAGCCTGGAAGAGTAAGACTGGGATAAAAAGGTACCTGACTGGTGACCACCCTATGCATGGACCAAACCGTGAAGTAGGGCAGAGCTATGCCAAGAACAGTATCAAGGAATAGAGGTCTCTGAGCCTGGGGAGACATTTGAACCAGGTGCACTGCCTAATGCCAGAAATAGGGGCCCACGTGGCAGTTCTGATAAAGGCTTTACCCTAGGTAAGGCAGAGAGAACAGGAAAACCCTGAACAGGGAAGGGGTATGATCTGGGAACCTTTGACTAGGGAGGCTCATGTTGGTCAAAGGCCCTGAAAAACAATGCTTTCGATAGAAATACACAAAAGGGTCTGTATATCTGGAGATGCCCATCTATAGGAAGCCGGTGTCACATGGTCGGGCAGGATGGTGAGGAGGAGACAGCGGCATCACAGTGGCCTCTGGTGCGATGTATTTACAACAGAGCTCAATGTTAAGGGAAGGGCAGATAGCAGGTCACTAACAGCCAGGAAACACACTGTGAAGAGTAAAAAGAGAAGGGAAAACAAATGTCACCCTACCTCCTCCAGTATGCCCTTCCTAATGACCAGCAAGGACCTTGCAGATCTGTCCCACCTCCCACAGCTTCATTCAGGGCTGTACACAGGGTCTGCTCTCAGTGTACTGATTTGACAAAAGCTCCAAATGGTCTAGGGCCGTGGTCGGCAAGCTACGGCTCACGAGCCACATGCGGCTCTTTGGCCCCTTGAGTGTGACTCTTCCTAAGCCTTAGGAGTACCTTAATTAAGTTAATAACAATGTACCTACCTATATAGTTTAAGTTTAAAAAATTTCAATCATTGTACTGTTGATATTTGGCTCTGTTGACTAATGAGTTGGCCGACCACTGGTAGGGCCCCAAACAGTGCTTATTAAGGGAAATTCAGTCTTTACTTTTGATTCCTGGTCAGTCACCTGTTTGGCATAAGGGAGTCACTTATATGTGGCTCACTGTGCCAGGCTCTTGTCATCATTTCTAATGCCTACCCTGCCCTGTCACCCTCACCTCCCAGGCCCTGGTATTCCAAGTTCTCTAACACAAACTTCCTGAGGGTGGGGAACGGGTTTCCCTGGACCTTCATCAGGCTGTGGGCTCTGTGAGGTATCAGGGGCCTTCTGTAGCACAGACGAGGAGCTCCTTGAGGTGTGGCCAAGACCGTGTGGTATGGGTCACCATGCTTCTCTTCCTCAACAAAGAGCCCAACTGTGTCTCCCTCATCAGATGAAGGACATCCTAGTAGAGAGGCATCCTTTTCCCTCTAGACCAGTGGTCGGCAAACTGCGGCTCGTGAGCCACATGCAGCTCTTTGGCCCCTTGAGTGTGGCTCTTCCACAAAATACCGACTTCTGCGCATGAGCCACGAAGTTTCAATCTCACTGTACATGCGTGCCCGCACATGGTATTTTGTGCAAGAGCCACACTCAAGGGGCCAAAGAGCCGCATGTGGCTCGCGAGCCGCAGTTTGCCGACCACTGCTCTAGACCAATGGTTCTTGCCTGGGAGTGATTTTGCCTTCCTTGGGACATTTGGTAAAATCTAGAGACATTTTTGCTTGCACAATTTTAAGTGTGTGGGGTGCTACTGGCTTCTAGTGCATAGAGGCCAGGTATGTTGTTAAACATCCTATAATGCACAGGGCAGTCCCCAACACAAAGGATTACCTGCCCCACGTATCAATAGTGCTGAGGTTAAATACCCTATTCTGGGTCTCTATTTAGCCTCCACAGCCTGCCCGGCCTTCCTCAGCAGATGTCTCTAAGAGCCTGGGAAAGGACTGATGCCCATCCCAGCTTCCTTAGAGAAGGGCCACCTCAATAAGTGCACATGGGGGTGAGGTGTAGGGTGGTGAGGGACATTTTAATCTCAGCATAGCAACAACCCACGACCAGAGAGACAAACAAACAATAGCATTGTAGAAACACACATGCTGGGATCTGTGTTGAGGAAGGCATGGTGACTGAACCAGACAGGGTTAAGGAAGAGGTAGTTCAACTTTGCAAGTATCTTTTTGTTGGAGTTGGCCAACACTTTGGGCTCCTTAATCCTTTGTACACCATAAGCATCTATAGACACAAGCAGCAGACCTTCCCCACACGCCATGTGTGTTTATAGCCGCAAACCTCACCTATTAACTATGGTCGCCCAATTTTAAAATCAGACTTGTTAGTGACATCTCTGGGTTTGTAAAGAAAATTATGGTAACTTAAATTTGTAAATATTCCAGCACATATGGGAGAAATGGGGATGGTTTCCGTTTTGGATGCGTGGCAGTTAACTGGTTAAACCTTTTTACTGCTTACCACTGGAATCCACCGACGGACTCTGCAAACCTGTTCCGGATCAGGAAAGTGGCAACAGCTTCAGCTACCTAGAAAACAGAGGTTTTCCTAGCCATGTGAAGGTTAGCAATGGGCCTCAGCCTTAGAGGTCCTGGGGGCTTCTGCTGGAACGTCAGACCCTATAGTGAACTCACGGGACCTATAGGTCTTGGGAGCTTGAGATCACAATGACCTGGATACTGCTAGGGTAGGAGACTCATTCCTAACTATTAGTATAATTTAGGGAGCAGTTTCTACCCCAGTTATCCCTTTTTCCATCTAGCTTTTGGAGGCAATGGAGAAGTGGAGCTTAAGATCTTCACTATAGGATCCCAGGATAAAATAGCAGGGTGCCAGTAACTTCTCAGCCCACACACAGAAAGCCAAGACCATTGGCAGCTGCCAGGGAGAGGTATGGGAGCTGGTGGAGTTGCATCTGTGTAGGCCCCACAGAAACAGTTGCAGGAACACAGACTGATTTAGAGCTATGTTCTATCTCCTGTGAGACCCAAGTTACTCTCACAGAGGTCCTCACAACCCTCAGTCATCAGCACTGGGCTCACCTTGTCTGGGGCATCCTCATGGACTGCATGGCCACACTGAGGTAGGACCTGCATCTGGAACTTCCCTGGAGAAGAAACAAATCCAGGCAACTTCAGGGACAAAAATGGCTCTCTCCTTACCACCTCTGCAGCCTCATAGGACATTTCAGAAGCCCAGGACCTCTCCCTCCCTCTCTCCCCAAAACTCTAGACTCAGTTGCCAAGCCTTTGAGGAGGATTGTAATATCTATAATTGTAACCTTGGACAAATCATTTTCCTTTCACTTTTTCCTTCTGCAACTATTTAATGTACATATATCTACTTCAGGCCAGACATATAGGAAGAAACGGTTTCCTTTTTTCAGATTTATTATAGTCTAGTCGGGGAACAAAACACAAGAACATTGTAATGCAACAGGTAGTTCCTATGATTAAACTGCCCATATGGTGCTGGAATAATGTAAGAAAGGGGGCTTTGTAATCAAATAGGGATTCAGGGAGGCTTCCCACAGAGAAAAAGCCTACACGAAGGAAAGAAGGATGAAATAGTATTTATTCCTAGAAATAATGGTGCTTGTGAGAGTTAATAATGAGGGTGGAAAAGTAAGCAAGGACCATAACATTAAGGGTTTTGCAAGCTATGCTAGGATTTTGAAATTTATTATTAAAGTTACCATTTGAGTGCTTAACTATATGCCAAACACTGTACAAATAAGGACACTGTTTTGTAGAACACTGTAAGCTCACAACTAATATGATCGTTATAAGGAGTTAGCAGAGATGACTGATAAAGCAAGATCTCTGAGCAGACTAAAAGATATGGGACCAGAGCTCCCAAAAGCAGAGAGAGCTTCAGTGTCTCCATTTACAAACAAAGGGAGTGCACTCTGACAGCTCCTTTCTCTCTTTTTTAATAATTCTTTATTGTTGAAAGTATTGTCAATTCTTTAACCCCCTCCAGTCCAACCCTTCCCCCTCCCCTGCCCCAGGCCTTCAGCACTATTGTCTGTGTCCATGGGGTATGCATATATGCATACAAGGTCTCTGATTACCTCCCACCCACCCACCTTCCCCCACCTTCCCTCTGTTCCATGCCTTGAGTCTCTGGATCCACTTCGTTCATCAGTTTATTACTTAGATTCCACATATGAGGGAGATCATGTGACACTTGTCTTTCTCTGACTGACTTATTTCACTTAGCATGATACTCTCCAGATCCCTCCATGCTGTCTCAAAACAAGATTCTTTTTTTGCAGTTGCATAGTATTCCATGGTATAAACATACCACAGCATTTTTATCCACTCATCTACTGATGGGCCTCGGGCTGTTTCCAGATCTTAGCTATTGTAAATTGTGCTGCCATGAACATAAGGGTACATACATTCTCTGAAAGCTCTCTCGGGTCATTACATCCTGTGATTCTTACCCCAGTTACACAGTGCTTTAAAATATTTTTCAAAATACACTTCTATCCATGTTTTAAGTTCTCAAATCTACCCTATAAAACTAAGCAGGACAAATACTGAAATTCTTTTTTCAGATGATGGAACTGACTGAGGCCATGATTAACAAAGTGATTTGCCCAAAGTAGCTTACTTAGTAGAGAAACTGCATTCCATTCAGTAAGGTTCAGCTTATGCCCATTCTCTTGCAGGAAGCTGCCCCAGGTACTCAAGCCTAACTCCCCTCTCCTTTGTATCTCTTAATATACTACTGAATGCATTTGAACCCAAATAGAGCAGTGTGTGCCACTCTTGTTTTGTAAGCTTATATTTTATACTAGTGGCCCGGTGCACGAAATTCATGCACGGGGGAGGGTGTGTTCCTCAGCCTGGCCTGCAGCCTCTCCAATTTGGGACCCCTCGAAGGATGTCCTACTACCAGTTTACAGGGATCAGGCCTAAACCGGCAGTCGGACATGCCTCTCACAATCTAGGACTGCTGGATCCTAACTGCTCACCTGGCCAGCCTGGGTGTGGGGCTGATGGCTGTTTGCAGGCTGGCCACAGCCTCTTCAGGGTGGAGGGGATCCCTCTGGGGGCGCCTGGACAGCCTGGGTGAGGGGCTGATGGCTGTT